TAGTTGTGTAAAAATTATAAAGTTGACTTCACTTTACAATGGTGCCAAAAACTTGATACGATATTTTATGAATAAGAACGATAATAAATATTTTTTAATATTATAAAATACACACAGCAAATACAATAGCAACAACAACAACTTTATCAAGTAACATAAGACTTTCTATTTAAGCCTCAAATATCGATATCACGAGGAAGGTTTAAATTTGAAATGATAAATTAACTAGGGATTCACAGAAATAAAGCAAAATTACTGTCACTAATTTTGATTGTTTGAGATACTATCAGAACTAAATTGTTAACTACTAGCAAAATTTAAATGCAAAGTTTAAAACAGTAACTACTAAACCATATTTATGTGATGAAGTTTTCTAATATGAAAAAACATCTTTCCTACTACAATGTGTTGTTTTTGGTAAAATGAGATGAGATAAATAAATATGTATTGTGCCAAATAGGAGCAATTTTAATTCTCTACCTTGATTTAGTGTTATAGAAAATCATTGGCTAATCTCAGGTTTGGTCCCTAAATTCGTGGCTAGGTTAGGAGGATACTGGCTCTCACTTCAAAGCTCCCACTTCCCTTCCCTTGAGGCTAACACTAGCTTAAGTTCTTAAATACTAAAATCAAATTGGAGATTTTAGTCTGTCACCCTAAAGTTTTTAATTCTACACCCAACAATGTATATTTCCCTATTTATTTGCACTTAATTCCATGAACAAAATACTCCTTCATAGAATTAAATGTGATTCTCACTTCGTTGTAGAACTCATATTTCATTTCCCGAATCATATGTTTCACAATATATTTTAACAATATATTTTAACAATTCAACTAACCAGATTGAAAAGTAAATTAAGAACGAAGTTGAAAAATCGTCATTTTTTATTTTATATTTTAACATTGGCACATCATAATTATCTCTTCATTTCACCATTTCTCAAAGTAGGGAGAAAGATAAAAGAAACTACTCAGACTTCATGAGAAAGATACAACAAAACACAAATTTCATATATAAAAGCAAGTTCATAAAAAAATAATAAACAAACTATACTTATCTGAAACTCTTTCTCAAAACAAATCCCTTATAGCATATCTTAGGAAATGTAGGAAGAAGAAATCTCTCACTTCTCCCCCTCTCAAACACTCTTAGAGAAGAATTTACACTTAAACTCACCACAAAAATAAAATTATAACAAAAACTTAAAATTATAAAGAAAATAAATGACTAATAGACTCTAAGTGGTTGTAGGAAAAGTGAAATAGCATGGAAGAGAGTGGAAAGCGGTTGAAGGGTGTGAAGGGGAGTCTTTTATGATCAATTTCCGCTCTAAATAGAGCATAATGTCGGTTTTCCAATAGATGCATCCAAAAACTCTTCAAAAAGCATCCAAATTTGTTGATTCTTCTAGAAAAGGGGCTTGCACCGATATTAGCGCCGTCGGTGCTAGTGGCTCGTGAATTAATTTTAGGCTCTCTGTCAAATGACGCCATCAGCGCTGCTCCGCGCGCCGTCGACACTAATCCTGACGCTGTCGGCACTGAGGAAAATCTAGCCTCTATTTTATAGGGCTGCGACGTCAGGTCCATCCTGGCGCCGTTGGCACTAAGTATTTCTTCAAAAATGTCATTTTGACTCCTAATTCTTCCTTTTTGCTTCAAGTCCTAAAAATCAACAACTTGCAATAAAACATGAAAAATACCTTCATTTAAAGTGCAATATCACCAAAAATAAGTATAAAATATAGGCTTAAATATGCATGTATTTTTAGTGTATCAGTACCCTACAAAAGGTAAAGATGATGAATGCTATAAAATGGATGTGATAAAATATTTAAGTGAATGTCATTTCAAAACAACTTATGAAGTTAAATATGAGATGAAAAAGTTAGAACACGAGCAAGAAGAGAAATTAGATCAACATAAATATTTATATAAAGAAGATTCAAGTTATGTTCGAGAAAGTTTTGAATTTTTGAACACAACAGAAAAAGAAACATCTTTTTGTCCATCGATTGAAAAACCTTCTGAGCTTGAGTTGAAGTTGCTTCTTGAACATTTAAAGTATGCATTTTTAGGTGATTTCTCTATTCTCTATATTACATATTATAATATTCTCTACATTACCTTTTATAATTTCCTCAAAATTAACTCTAGAAGAAAAAGAGAGTTCGACAAAAAGTTTAAAGAGTTATAGGAAAGCCTTTGGATGGATAATTGCTGATATAAAAGAAATCAATCTTTCAATTTGTATGCATAGAATTTATATGGAAAAGAACTGCAAACCTAGGGCTGATCCTCAAAGGAGATTGAATCTTGTTATGAAAGAAGTTGTTAAGAATGAAATTTTAAACTGGTTAGATGCTGGAATTATCTTCCCTATTTCAGATAGTGCATGGGTTGATCCAATTCTCTGTGTTTCTAAGAAAGGAGGAGTGACTGTAACTTTGAATGAACATAATGAGTTAATATCAATAGGACAAGTCACTGGGTGGATAATATGCACTGATTATAGAGAAAACTAAATATCACCACAAGGAAAAATCATTTCCCACTACCCTTTCAAGATCAGATGCTGGATAGAGTAGTTGAACATAAATACTTTTATTTTTTGGATGGATATACTAGTTATCACCAAATACAAATAACGACTAAGGATCAACAGAAACAACTTTTACGAGTCTTTATGGTACATTTGCTTTTAGAAGAATGCCCTTTGGTTTATGCAATGCACTTGCTACATTTCAAAGATGTATGATGGCTATTTTTTGTGATTTAATTGAAAAATGAATTGAGGTTTTTATAGATGATTTTTCAGTGTTTGGAACTTCATTTGACTCATATCTAGAACTTATATCAAAAGTTTTTAAGCGTTGTGAAGAAACAATTTTAGTCCTTAATTGGAAAAAATGCAAATTTATGGTAGCAGGAGGAATAGTTTTGGGAGGAGGAATAGTTTTGGGATATTTGGGACATCAAATTTCACAAAATGGCATTGAAGTAGACTCTGCAAAAATTCAAGTAATCGTTAATTTACCTTACCTAACAAGTGTAAGGGAATTAGGAGTTTTTTACGACATGCTGGTTTCTACAGGCGATATATTAAAAACTTTTCAAAATTTGCTAAGCCTATATGCCATTTACTTGAAAAAGATGTAAATTTTAATTTTGGTGATGAGTGCCTAAAAACTTTTGAATTATTAAAAGAAAAACTAGTCACTGCACCAATTATTATTACACCAGATTATTGCACCAGATTGGTTGGGAAAAATCTTTTGAATTAATGTGTGATAATAGTGATTATGCTATTGGAGCTATTTTAAAATAAAAGCATGATAAGATTTTCAAAGTTATCTATTTTCGTCCGCTCTTACTCGGAACCATTAAAGAAAGTAACCCTCAACTGCCTCCCCTTTCTCCCAGCCACACTTCAGCTTCTTTGAATCCCACATATTCATCTTCTAACGAATTTTCCTTACTCACGAGTTAAGGCAAACAGAGGAGAGAACCTATAGGATTAGAAGGTATTTTTTTTACTATTTATTAGTTAAGGCATTAAGCTTGTATATCCATCAGACAGAAACTTAATTTAGAAATTATATTTACCTAAAAAAACAATGAAATATTTTCTTGATTTATATTAGATTCATAATTTATTTATTTTACAAATATAATAATAATAATAATAATAATAATAATAATAATAATAATAATAATAATAATAATAATAATAATAATAATAATAATAATAATAACAATAATAATAATAATAAAAAATGTTTCTTAGGTTATACCTAATTTAATGATAAAACTTAACTCCATATTTAGTTATATATTAGTTTATAATTGTTATACAATCGATAGTCGAATCATTGAATTTGTAAAAGTATGTCGTTTCCTGCATTGAGATAAGTAATTATTTTTTATTAGAGGAAAAGCATACCATTCCTAGTTGGGTGTATTAATTCTTGTTATTTATAGCAGATTCATAGCTATTTTATAGGATTGTTAGCCATATCGTTACTACAATATTGTATTGTGATAAACTTCAATTATCACTCATAAATAAATCACTAGTTGCCTTACTCTATTGCTGTAAAATTGCTGCATAATTGAGTTAATCTTGTAATTGTGATATTTTTTTTCACTGTACTTTATTGGTATGAAATTGCAAGTCATATCATAAATCTGTATTTTTTTACATATTATACATGTGAAAATTTTTATATTTTTGTGGCTAATGGTATGTTGGTCGATGGAACTCTTTTGGATATTGGCTAACCGGACCGAATGACCCACAAAGTGACGGACGTCTCTTTGGAAAATCACATGGTTTCCTTATGTTGGTATTGATTTTTCCGATTTTAGGGTGTCTATTAAAACTAAATATATAAATAGTGAATTGAAAATTGAAAAATAGGAAATTAAATTGTGAACAATTGCATGTTTTCATCGTATAAATAAACAAATTTGATGTTTACCACTCCCTTGTTGTCTTATGATATTATATATTCACATAATAATATCTCTATTTATTGTTTATATTAAAAGTCTACATTTTATGCATTAATAAATAGGCATTATTTATTGAGTTTATTTTTTAAGCTGTTTATGCTTTAATAAATATGTGTTAATTACCGAGTTTATTTTTTATTTGCATGTAAGTTTTTTTTTTTTCGAGAATATAAAATATGTCCAATTCATTTTATCATATTTGGTGTTGAGGAGACATACCAAACTTATGTATGACAGATAATATAAATATATAAGAATTGGGTCATACGAATCTTCCAGACTTATGTATGACTGATAATATAAATATATAAGAATTGGGTCATACGAATCTAAATCTTAAAAAAAAAAAAAAAAAAAAAAAAATTGTGGGGGCATGTTGCGTTGATTGCCGTTACTCGTTCCATACATGTAGTTTCCCTTCCATTCAAAAATATGAGTTAATTTGAATCATAAAGTGGTTTCTTGCTCGTGGGCTCCGCACGCTTCCGCTGCTTTCCATTACGCCCTCTTTACACTTGTCCTCGGGAGCTCAGAGGGATTGCTTTCTTCCATCTGGGACCTGTCATCGCCATCCAGGAGTCGAGGAATCGAGCAATGGCTGGATTCGAAGGGGTACTTGTTTCAGATCCTTGGCTTCAGAACCAGTTCACACAAGTGGAGCTTCGTTCGCTGAAATCCAAGGTAAAGCCAACTGTCCTCTTGCTGTTTCTTCTGCTCCTTGCTCTCTCCTGCATTCAGTGGAATCGTGTTTCAGTTCATGGCGATGAAGGATCCAGGTGGCAACGGAAGCTCGATTAAGGTCCGCGACCTCGCAGCTGAGATGTCGAGGTTGAAGATTGCTGGCGACGGCCTTGCCGAAGATGAGAAGGATTCGTACCTTCGCCACTTGTTCCCTAACCTTGATGTCCTTGTCGACTTCGAGGACTTCCTCCGGGTTCGTTCTAGCTGCGTGCTCCTTTTTGCTAGTTCTCTTTTTGTTATTGGTCTCCTCATATACTCGGCTGAATACAGTCTATTGTTATTTTGAAGGCTTATTTGAAGATGCAAGGCCACGTTGGAAGGAAGAATTCGTCTTCGGAGTTCCTCAAGGCAGCGACGACCACACTACTCCACACCATTAGCGAGTCAGAGAAGGCTTCTTACGTTGCCCATATCAACAGTTATCTCGGTGGTGATGATATTTTGAAGAGAAATATCCCTATTGATCCTCTCACAGATGATCTGTTCGAGGTCTCTAAGGATGGAGTGCTTCTATGGTTATTGATCTAAACTTATTTCTCTATTTTACCATTTTTATTCCTTCTTTCCATCGTATATTTTTTTGATGAGACGAGATGATACACATGGGTTCTTGTGCATTTTGTGCGAAGCAAACTTATCAATGTGGCTGTTCCGGGGACCATCGATGAGAGGGCAATCAATACCAAGATAATGCTGAACCCATGGGAGAAAAACGAGAATCATACATTATGTCTCAACTCAGCTAAAGCTATTGGGTGCACTGTCGTCAATATTGGAACTCAAGATCTCGCAGAGAGCAGGGTGAGTATAATACTCTAATTTTAAGGTTTTATGGCCATATATTTATTTAAACTTTCATGCTTGAATGGTTCCAGGATTCTTCTTTCTATTCTTTGGCAGTTTTTTGAATTATTTTCTTATTATGTTGAGGCTTTATTGCTAATAAGTTTGTACATTTGGATCTTACGAAATTTTCTTTAGGTGACCCAAATCTACCGAGTGGCTAGTGAGTAACACACAGTGAATGAGATTACAAGGATGTCTCTTGAGCAGCCTAAGCTTATAGTTGGAGTTATTGGAGTGATGAAATTTGTGATTAACGGATAAGGTGACCTTTAACACAAGTAGAACCCAAAGACAATTGAATTGTATCTTAGCAAGGATTTAACATAATAGTTGTTATTTCTTGCAATAATCCTTGACCAATTATGATACATATATTATATAACTTATTGCAAATTTAGTTACTTGTTGACCTCATTTTTAGTGAGGTCTAATCTTCC